TTGTACTGGCGGCACAGAATGGCACCTAATCAATATACCAAGGATACCACTCACTAAGATTGGACAATGAGCACTGAGATCCCCATGTCAGTGATTTACCTGGATGTACCCTCACACCAAGGGCAAATATGCCAGACTTTTTGACAGTGGAGTCTGAGGTTGACAAATCAATCTTCCGATAATCTGCTGGGGCGGGGCTTTGGAGGTCTCGTCCGTTGGCCCGATGCTCCGGCCATTTTCGGATCGTTGACTGGGTCATCGATCCCTTGGTAATGATTCGGGCTAAGAGGGCCTGCGTCCTTCGCTGGCTATCAAGGCCGCTGGCACAACACAACACAACTTTAACACAGAAACAGTGGCCTTATATAGGCAGGTTCGAGCCATTATACATGTCCTACCTAGGAGGGAGGCACGATGCAACAAATTAAACTATGCAATTTGGCGCAAAATGCAGTCTAAGTTAGTGGTGCATACGTCTCTAATATGTTCGAGCTAGTTGGTGCACTGCATTTGTATTCATATGCGCCTAAAAAGTAGCATTGGCCACCGACGAATTTCGCTTTCATTTTGAGCTTCCCCAAAGACCGGCTGCGAAAGTCCCGCGTAAAGCCGATACGAATTGAAAAGTGTCTGCTGCACGCATTTGCGGATCCAGGGCAAAGGGCCTTTTGCCTCCCCAACCCCCATCCCTCCCGTGTCCCCTACGGCACAGGCAGCAGTGCCGCAAAAGCCCGGGACTGAAGCTAAAACTAAAGCACACTAAAGCCTAAAGTAACTCTAAGCAGCACTGTTACAACTCTGTCCCTAGTTTCTGCATGGTTCCAGGGTTGGATGGGGCTCACCCTCAACCCTTCTCCCCCTCCCCACCCCCACGCTTCCTCCTTTTGAGTCCGTTCTGGATTCGCTTATGACTAATATGGGAGTATCGTGTTAGATGCCACAGAATATGTATGTAAATCACAAAGATATAAGTACTCCAGTAATTGCCGGCAAAACAATCGATTTTTATGCGTTTTTTGCAGCAATGCAATGCGAAAGACGCATATTGACGAGAGGTTGTCTGTGTG